AATACAAAATAATTTGTCAAATAAATGAAACGTGATGAAACATTCATATCAGTTGAAATTGTTATAGCTTACTTCAAGAGATTGAAGTGATACGTGACATGATGAAAAATGACTGAATGAATAATACTGAAATTAGGCTAAGATGAATTTTATGAATTTTTGGTAGAGCATTGCGTTAGTAGCGCAAAAGGACGTGGGTTCGATTCCCAGGGAACACACATACTGGTAAAAAATGTATAGCCTGAATGCACTGTAAGTCGCTTTGGATAAAAGCGTCTGCTAAATGCATAAATTATTAAAATTATTATAGAACCACCCCTGATTTCCACAATAGATGTAAAGTTTTCATATTTTTTTTTATTCTTTTAATTTTTCTTTTCTAAAAAATCCTGTGTGTGTCATACTATTTAACTACATTTACTATATAGAATGGCCATGTAAATGTCATGTAAAAATTAAATTTGTGATCCATGCTTCTAGATTTGGGGACAAAAGCACCTTCTCATGTATGAGATGAATAATTATGTTTAACTTACTAAACACTGCTGATATATAGCTGTGAAACACTAAGTCTTCATTTCTGTTTCACTTGTTGATCTGGACAAAAGTATAGACAAAATATTTAAATTATGGATGTTTAATGTCATTGCTGTTTTCATGTTTATTATTGCTTGTTCATGTAATGCAGGGATTCCTGAAGTTTATCAAACCCCCTGCAGCGTAATATGATGTTTAATGCATTTCATGTTGTTCATAACAAAGAATGGAATATATTTTCTTTTTATCAATATGGCACATAATAATACTATTCGAATGTGATAAATGGGTTAGGTGAAAAGTAATCTAGAAGTAAGTAGTCAGTATATATTACTGAAAAAAATTAGTGATCTAAAAGATTGTGTTAATAATAATTTTTGTTATGCAATTTGTAATCAGTAACGGACTACCGTTTGCAAGCTACCTGTTAATACATATTTTTGGTTTTAATATTTGTATTGTGTGCTAACCGTTTTATAAAAGCATTAACATCCTCAAGGTGTCTCATACCGTATTGCTTGCATAACACAGTTGACTTGTTATACTGAAAATGATAATCCATAAACAAAGTCATTTTTGATTATGTTTCGTTGGTTGAAGTTTTAATTTACAATGTCATTATAGTAATGACCTTGTATCAGAATAACCTTTTGACTCTATTTTCTGATTGGAGTCATGTTGAAAGGTGCTGTAAAATGTTGGCATACACAGACCTGCTTATTTTAACATTCTGTATTCATTTATTATTCAAATTAAATAAATGGTGGAAGAACTATTTATTCAGTTTATTAATATGAATTACTATTAAATCTCTTTATTGAAAATTGCAAAACAATAAATCACTCGAGGTTGTGTGCTTGTCATGTGTATTCTCTGTCCTGAGACTCCTATGAAGTTTGTAGTTTGTATTTTGTTTAGCCCCTCCAGGATTTCATGACTTTTTCATGTTTTTTTTGCGATGACCGATTTTGTGGTGGCAATTTCCAGAAATTTTGCGAAAAACTAGCATTTAAAAAAAATAATATTTACCATATTATAAATTGTGTTAGATGCACAACAGTCATACATGAAACAAAGAACAAACAAAATTCATAAAATGTGTTTATTTTAAAAAGAAGGACAAATATGTGCAACATAAAGATAAACAGTGTTTAATTTAGTTGTTTCATTAATATTAACAACAAAACAGTAGACCTACAGTAAAGCACGGACCAATACTAACACACGTCCCAAACAGTTTTTCCCCCAAACAGTTTGTTTACTTAAGACATAACCGATTGCATTTACATGAATACTCGCCAAGATGGACATTTTGGTAAGTGTACACGGCAAGTGCACAAAACAGAAATCTGCGGTCAGTCTGCCTGACTGAACTGAGTTCTCTTTCACGGTATACTGCGCTTTTAATAACTTTTTATTACTATTAAAGTGCCCCTATTATGCCATTTCCAATATTGCCTTTCATGCAGTGTGTAATGTAGCTGTATGTGAATGTAAACGATCAGCAAAATTGTAAAGCTGAAAGTGCACAATAAATAAAGTTATTGTCTCCCAAAATAAAGAATCGACTCTTTTGGAATCTGATTCCAGCTTGTGGTGGCATAATAATCACAGATACAAGCAGTGTGTCATCTGAAGGTTTCAGATCCAGCACACAGGAGCTGCTTCTGTTTTGTGCATGACTGAAATTATCTGCTCTCACTACAGTATAGGGGTGGGAATCTTCAGGAATTTCACGATCCGATCCGATCCTGGGAGTCATGATCCTATTCCAAAACCTACATTGTTTCCTAATTAATTGTTCTACTGTGCAAATACATCTTTACAACTTTACATTTTAACCAAAATTGCAGTTTCAATGCTTTTTGTTTATAGTCGGAATCTCTGTATGTCAGTACTGCCATCTTAAAAATACGGGTGTGAGTCTTCACTGGTTTCCCGATTCAATTCAATTACGATTATCATTATCAACTCAATATCACGATGCGTCACATTCTCAGTTTTTAATATTACTGCACATGGCTACATGTTTTATATAAATTTTATATCAAATTTATTTTGTGCAAAATTTACTTTTTTTTTTTATATAAGCAGGCTACTTTTTAAAACAATTACTTATTTAAAATAAGGTAAAACTTATCTTTAAAGGTTAACGTATGGTTAATATAGTAATATGGCAATAGTGTAGTATATAAGAAAATGTCATTAAATGAGATCAGTTTAAGTAAAAAAAAATAAAAAATAATAATACTTTATAATTACATTTATTGTACTGTGTGTGTATATTTAGAATGTGTTTTATTATGAATATGTTAACTATTGTTTTTCATACACTGGTAAATTTTGAGATTTTGGGCTACTTTACTTCCATAACATGACTTCTTTCAGACTAGGGGAAAGAAAACATCCAAAATACACATTTAAGTTTTTATTTACTAGTCCCAAACAGTTTTTCCCCCAAACAGTTTGTTTACTTAAGACATAACCGATTGCATTTACATGAATACTCGCCAAGATGGACATTTTGGTAAGTGTACACGGCAAGTGCACAAAACAGAAATCTGCGGTCAGTCTGCCTGACTGAACTGAGTTCTCTTTCACGGTATACTGCGCTTTTAATAACTTTTTATTACTATTAAAGTGCCCCTATTATGCCATTTCCAATATTGCCTTTCATGCAGTGTGTAATGTAGCTGTATGTGAATGTAAACGATCAGCAAAATTGTAAAGCTGAAAGTGCACAATAAATAAAGTTATTGTCTCCCAAAATAAAGAATCGACTCTTTTGGAATCTGATTCCAGCTTGTGGTGGCATAATAATCACAGATACAAGCAGTGTGTCATCTGAAGGTTTCAGATCCAGCACACAGGAGCTGCTTCTGTTTTGTGCATGACTGAAATTATCTGCTCTCACTACAGTATAGGGGTGGGAATCTTCAGGAATTTCACGATCCGATCCGATCCTGGGAGTCATGATCCTATTCCAAAACCTACATTGTTTCCTAATTAATTGTTCTACTGTGCAAATACATCTTTACAACTTTACATTTTAACCAAAATTGCAGTTTCAATGCTTTTTGTTTATAGTCGGAATCTCTGTATGTCAGTACTGCCATCTTAAAAATACGGGTGTGAGTCTTCACTGGTTTCCCGATTCAATTCAATTACGATTATCATTATCAACTCAATATCACGATGCGTCACATTCTCAGTTTTTAATATTACTGCACATGGCTACATGTTTTATATAAATTTTATATCAAATTTATTTTGTGCAAAATTTACTTTTTTTTTTAAAATTATTATTATATAAGCAGGCTACTTTTTAAAGCAATTACTTATTTAAATAAGTGTCCTTTAAGTATCCAGACAATAGTTATGGGTTTTTCTTTTTTCCTCAGCATTATTGCTGTTTGCTGATGAGAAAATACAGTGGCAGCTTTAACACACTAATGCACAGATCTAGTTTGATATATCACATGTGTTGCCCTGCTCTGAAAACATAACTGACTGTTTTACATCAGTTTCGTATAAAAGTATTAAAAAATGCAAATGCATTTAACCGTGAATGATCAAGCTTCAGGACAAACACAAAGTGCACGTGAAAGTCTGTCAGTGTGTGAGTTTCATGCATCTAACACGTACTACATTCCAAACGGCAGAAATGAAAGCATGTCTAAAGTAAAACACTGAAATAACGGCGTGTGGAAGCACACACTGTCAAGCAATGCTCACGTGTCTCACAGCATATATTCTGTGATGCAATGAAGCCCGCCCCGATTCTCTCTATCGCACACACGTGCCATATGCGGCCAAAAAATACCAAGCTCAGAATCGATTCTGAAATGTTCAGAATCGTTGAATAGAGAATCACGATGCATTGGAGAATCGATTTCTTCTCCCACCCCTAACTACTACAGTATAAAAGCTACTGTAGGTTAACTGAGATTTGACGGAGGAACCTGCGCCTCAGTTGGACTCCTATCATGTCAAGTGTAATAAATCTTTACAGTTTTATAGGCATCACCTTCTTTGATTTTATGTTATTACTTGTTACCGGTTATAGCCATGAATAGAATATGGACTTGATGTCCACTGCATGTATTCAAGCCTCTATTTTAAGCTGCTGTGTGTAGAGGACATTTTGAGATTCACACCTGTCAATCCCAATCACTGACTCTGATTGAGTGAATGTAGAATATGAATGCATTGGGATATCTGCAAGAATCCGTGAAACCCGAATTAATCCTCCAGACTGGCAGACCACATCAAAGAAGATCATTTAGCTTAGGCTGAAATCCTACAGCACTGACTCTAAATAATTCAACACAAATGGGTTTGAACCTTATTTTGTTTAGAATGCGGACCTGGGGCCAGGGAACTAGAATGTACAGGGGAGAAAACCTGAATATTTATTGAATGGCTTCCATTTGGTGGGATGAAGGGATAAATAGCATGTTTACCTTGCAGCCTTCACAGGCACTGACACCATAGTGGTACCCCGAGGACTTGTCCTGGCAGACGAAGCAGGGTTTGTAGACACGAGGAGGGGGTAGAGGTGATGGAGGACTGGGGACCAATTCCTCTGAACTGGTGCTCTGAGTCTCGATGGCTGTAGGGGCAGAAAGAGACAAGAAACATAACTGATGATGATGGAGATGAAAACTCCAGTCTGAGAAAAACAACTGACTTCAGATGAACTTAAGACTTGTGAGCAGTTGTCTTGAGACTTGATTTAGCTGTGAAAAACAACGAATACATGCAATGAAAACAGCAGGAATACAACAAGAAAGTGCTTAACCTCTATGTAACCAATACCTGTTTGACTTTTGGAAGTACAGTATAGCAAGTATGTAAATGCTAAATTTACTGTAGGCATACAGTTGACTAGGATCTGAAAAAAGCCTGGCTGCATAAAATTCATGCATTTGGATGTTGTCTTTCTGTTTTCGCCTGGTCTTGTCTACGTTTCATAACGGCTACTCCAGGTCCCAAAAACGGTGTTTTTATGTCTGTTAGTCTCGTTTCCTCGTCTTCAAACAGTCTCATCTTATCGCAAAATCAACAGATAAACACTCGGAAACACATCTATGATCGACAGAGCCTTCTGGAAATCGGCAGTGAGTACAAACAACAGCTTTCGCCGGTGACTACTGAGAAGCGTCACATATTTGAATCGATTTTCAACTGGCTCGCTGTTAATCGTTACATCCCTAATTAGTCCAAGTCCTCCTTCTTTTGACAGGTACAACACACTTTTCTGTACCCAGTGCAACTTAACCCAGAAGAAGTCAATTAAGATTGACTGGATTTTTGCTAATACATCAGCTGGAGGGTCTATACAGGCTAAACGGTGCCACAGTGCAGAGGCCACTAAATTATTAACAATCAAGATATGACCCTTACAGTACATTTTGGGGAGTAAAAACTTCCACTTATCCAGTCGTCCTTTAACTTTCTCAACAATGCCTTCAAAATTATTTTTTACAAAATGTTCATTTCCTAAAAACACTCCTAAATATTTAAAACCATCCCTAGTCCACTTCAGACCATCAGGAAGCCTTGGTTCCCCTTTTGATTATTTTCCAACTAAAATGGCTTCAATCTTTTTCCAGTTCACCTTGGCAGAAGAAAGAACTTTAAAAGCTTCCAAAATCTTTAGCAATACATTCACATCACTGGTTCCACTGATCAAAATGGTCACTGTCACAGTACAGAAGGAGACCAAGGATGGAGAGGTAAAGTAAACAGGGATCTTTATTTAACAGGTGCTGAGAGAGAGAGAGAGAGAGAGAGAGAGAGGTGGTCCTGTGAGGCACGACATTTCGTTCCACTGTATGTCCCCACATGCAGCAGAATGACAATAAAGCTCAACTTGAACTTGAACTTGAACTTGAACGTTTCATCAGATGGCTAATCACAAAATTAGATCATGCTGGCTTAATTGAATTGAGTTGGCTTACTGAATGTGCACTAGTAATGTACGTCAAGTTTTACAAGTATATTTAAAAAAACTACTTGTAGATAATATAATATTAATAAAAGGCCACTTAAGTGCACTTAAGAGTACATTTTCAAGACTGTTTCTGAACACACTTAAGTATTCTTTAAAAAAATGCAATTACCTGAACTACCTGATTGTAATTTTAACTGTAGTGTTATAATTAGTATGTTGATATTACATTTAAAGTCTTTTTAAATGTAATCAATTGCAACTTAAGCATTACAAACGTGTAATAACAAACATACATAGTTAAACATGCAGTTTTCAACAGAAATGACATGGAAGTACATTTTAGTTTAACATAAATGTCTGGCAAATGCTTGACAATACAATAAATTAAATACATTTATTTAATTGTTTATTTACTGACATGTTTATTAAAATATTTTACAGCAATACATACCAACATATTTGCTATTGTTGCTACAGCAAATGCAACAAGTATTCAGACCCCTTCCGTTTTGTTCAGATTGTATTTTGCAACCTTATATTTTAACTCACCTAAGATGTATTTAAGTGGGTCAAAAACTCACTCTAAAATTCAGCTAAATTACATTTAATACGAATTTAAGTAATATATTCAATTTGCATTTAAATGCCTGCAAAACATTACATTCAGTTTGCACTTAAGTATATGCTTTAGTATTTCTGTAATAAAATACTAATTTAGGTATGCTAAAGTGTACTTCTTTTTCACATGGGTAGATTCATAGGCTTCAAGTATCTTGAGACAGCCAAACACCAGCAGTCCATGTAGTCAGTATCAGTGGATCAGCCGGCAGCATCAGTAGTTATGTACTGTGCTTTACTACATGCAGATCTGCTGATCAGATTACAGCACTTCACCACAGTCAAATCAACTAACTCCATTATCTCATTCACTTGCTTCTATCCATCAGAAATTATATTTCCTCCTACATGTTTCTAACCCAAATCATCCCAATTCAAAATCCTTCAACAAATAAATTCCTTAGGACAGAAATCTGTGATGTATCTCAATATTTTGCAGCCTTCTGACAATATCTGATACCTTAAAGGGGTGGTTCACTGTTTTTTTTCTAGGCTTGATTGTGTTTATGGGGTGCAGTCTAACATGTGTTAATGCTTAGTTTTTTTTAAAACGCATTATTTTTCACATAATTTACCTTTATTCCACACCGCTCTGTCCCTTCTCTGAAAAACGCAC